AACACTTTGGGATACTGTTGGATGAAAAATTGTACGAGACAGCAGTGTGTGCTTTCAGCCCAGAAAGCCAATTGTATCCTGGGCTGCACAAAAAGAAGTGTGGCCTTCAGATCGAGGGAGGTGATTGTCCCCCTTTACTCCCATCTCCTGGGACCCCACCTGGTGTACCACATCCACCTCTGGGGTCCCCAGTGCAAGAAAGACACAGTTAGACACCTGTTAGAGTGGGTCCAGAGGAGGGCCGCAAAAATGATCAGAGGGCTGAACACATCTCCTATGAAGAAAGGCTGAGAGAGTTGGAATTATTCAGCCTGGGGAAGAAAACATTCCAGGGACACCTTGTTGTGGTCTTTCAGTATGTAAAGGGGTCTTATAAGAAAGATGGAGAGAGACTTTTTACCATGGTTTGTAGTAACAGGACAAGGGGCAATGGTTTCAAATGGAAGGAGGGTAGATTTAGACTGGATATAAGGAAGAATTTTTTATGATGAGAGTGGTGAGACACTGGAACAGGTTGCCCAAGAAATTGTGGATCCATCATCCCTGGAAGTGTCCAAGGTCAGATCAGACAGTGCTTTGAGCAATGTGATCTAGTGAAAGGTGCCCTTGCCCATGACAAGGGGTTTGAACTAGACTATCTTTAAATGACCCTTCCAACCCAAACCATTCTATGATTCTGTGAAATATGCATTCTTTAGCATTTGTGATTAAGTTCTATCTTTGGAAGCTGTCACCAATGCATTTGGCACTGTGTAGTTTGTAACAATATAAACTAAACAGACAAGTTCTGGAAACACCTGTGTGAGTTTGAATTATTGTCCAGATGGATGATTGTATTTTTGCATGTATGCATTTTTATGTATGTCAAGTTTCTTTTTAGAAATAAATGTTGCTTGTCTATGTAGAATGATGGAACAGACACGCATAAGTATATATGTACACACCCATACATATATGTACACCCTTAATTAAATATTCCCATGCAATTGTATCTGATACTAAGAGAGCTTATTTTGTAGGTCTGTGGAATAAAAGGGATAAAGGAAGTACAAGTATGTCATCAAAACTATGATTGAAAACAGGTGCCTAAGAAAGCAGACAGATAAATCAGGAATCAATTTCTGAGTTAAAATCAATTTTATGTGTGAGCATTGCAGCACAGCAAGCAAAAGTAGTGCTTACTGATTTTAAGCATAGTCTAGCACTTATTTTTAAGCATAGTCTTAAAAGTCCTTGATTTTCATTAGATTACATGTATGCCCTTCGGTGAGTACTTGTAAATTGTTGCCTTTATTACTGTTTAGCATGGAATGATTGGTACAATTTAGAACAATTAAGCTGGACAGCCTGATTTTTCCTTTCTATTTTCAAGAGTTATTGTGAGAAAATACAAGCAGTGTCTTTTTTTAGACAAATTACATTTGTTGTCCCATCATGTCAAAACATGCATGTTGCTTTCCATATTATCAGCTTCTCATTATTGTGGCAGTAATGACCTTAATACAAGGATTTTCTGGATGCTAATGACCAGTTGGTGTTAATTAGCTTAGGTGATGATGAAATGCTGTCAATGGCTTCCAGCAATATGTAGACCTTTGAATGTGGCACATAATTTGATAGTTATGTTTATAAAACAGAATAGCACCTGTGAACTCATGTTGCTTATTCATTGGTGTTATTCACACATGAATGCAAGAGAGATCTTTACAATCACATCTGTTATTCCAAAAAACCCCACTTCCCAGTTAGTAAATATTGATTATGCATAACAATACTTAAAAGTGAATGGCAGAAATACAATTTTTCTAAATACAACAAAAGTATGTATGCAAAACAGTTAGCAAGAACAGTGAAATTATTATCTATTAGTTTCTCCATATTAGATTTTTCCACTGTAATTTGGGCTTATTAGTAATAGCTGTTAAATGCCTTAACTGTAGCCCTGACTGATTGATTTTGAAATAAATATTTAATTGCTGGAATATGTCATAAACATGTTCCATTTGACAATCTGCTGCATGCCCGCTTGATAGCATTTCTTCTTGGTTTCTCTCCTCTTACTTTAGTTTCCTTAATATCAAAACAGTGATTAGGAAAAGACTGAAGAAGCAGAAGCTAAAGGAAAGTTTGCTGCAGATGATAATATCAAGGCTCATCTTTAGTTACTTTGGAGAAAACAGCAAGGAATTATCAACCTTAAAATGTGACCTTGTAGAAGAAAGGCAATGTCTAATGGGAGTTTCTTCTTATAATAGGAGAAACTATGTATTGAACGTGTCCTCTGTGGTACCACAAACTGAAAATTTAGTTGCTTTCAGCATCTTTAAGTATCTTCCTGTTTAATAAAAAGTTGGAAAAAATACTTTAAATAGAAAACTAAAATAATTTAAATAGTTTCAACAGAAACAATGATACATTATGCCAAATTATATGTAACTTTAGATTATTTGTCGCGGCACCATATATGTAAGGTCAAGACAGAATTGTGTCCATTGTGGGATGATAAATTGAAGTTTTCAAAAAGTTGCTCAGATCTCAGGTCTTAACCATTGGCATGATAACCTGAATGGAAGTGAAACAATTACTTCCTTGACAGAAGATATCTGTGAAGGAACTCTCTTTTAGAATTGAATTTCAGATATTTTTTGTATTCATCAACTTTCTTGAGAAAAATACGAGTCAGGCAAAATGACATTGTTTTGGTACTTTTCTGGAGAGCATGACTAAATTTTGCACAGGACAAAAAGGCAAAATATACAATTCACAAAGATGTCAACTTCCCTTTTATTTTGGTACAAATGCCTTTTTTCTTAACCTCTCCATAAAGTGGCAACTTCAACTTAAATAAAAATTTCAAAGTTAATACAGCAGTGCTGTTTTGCAGTAGTATTGTAGAGTTTTCCATAGAAAACAATAAAAGGATTAGTAAGCACAGATTTATTAAGTAGAGGGCCAGGACCAGGGCACTGTTGCTCTCCACTGAGCACTGGGAGATGCAATAGCAACTCTGAAATGTTGCATCTCTGTAGCTGTGTAGCCTCTTGCACCTCATTAAAATTGGAAGAGTGTATATCCCTGGTACAGTAATTAAAAAATGCATTGCAATCATCACCATATCTTAATTATCATTGTGATGATGGCTATTTTTTTATCTGGAGAGATGCATTTGTAATTAGCTCCCCTGTTTTAGCACTGAAATTCAGGTCTTGGTTGCAGTTGCAGTAGGTTTTCCCAGTCTGAGCTTTCTTCGTCTTTTTAGTTGTGGGTGTATTGCTCAATTTGTTTTATGGCCTGAGAGAGGATACACTTGTGTGCTGAATTTTTTTTTTGTATTGCATTACTTTGGACAGCAAATCCCCCTTTATCGAAGGCTAAGCAGAGTGAGAGTACCTGTGTGGTGTGGAAAAAACCTCAGTGAACTTGCTTACAATAGGCGTGTGAGAGTCAAGAACGGAAGCTGGGCTGCCTGAATCCAAGCCTAGATTTTAGGTTTGAGGATACTCCTTGCTTTGTCTAACCCCAGTGGCTCAAGTGAGGAATCTGAAAGCAGAAAATGCAACATCTGGCATATTACTGTATGCTGGGACTGGGATTCCAGTCCCCTGCACATGTCTGTGTCCTGTGGCACACACGTTCATTTTAAAGACAAGACAAAACAATGCAAAGCCCTCTGCTCTCCAGGGAGAGGACGCTGCTCCATCTGAGCAGCATGACCCGACTGGACCTCGGCACTTTTGAGCACATTTGTTTTGCTTCTGCACTGGGAAGAGGATTGACCCCTACGGTTTAAAAACTAAATGGAACATAATTTACATGAATAATAGAATGTTTAAACCTAAAAACACCAATTTTTAATCTTGTAAAATCACTGGTTATTTTTAGTACAGGGCTGTTCTACAGCGCTAATGGATTTTATAGTCTTAACATTTATTACACAGTGCTGCAGTGATGTCTTACGCAATTGTATTTCTGCCAGTCCATAGACCTGTTGCCGTTGTTTCCCCTAGAAACAAAACATAGCAGTATAAATATGAATAGGAGAGATGATTACAGGAGTGACTCACATTAACTTACAACTTTAAAAAAAGAAATTCTGGACAAGGCTTAAACTGTTGAGGTTCTCTTACAACAGTCTGATGCCAAACATGCAATTTCAACGAAGAGGAATGTGTAAAACTTCTTGTCCAGAAGGTGACTTCAAGTATATTCTACTTCACATGATTATTTCAGACCCAATCTGAACAAAATAAAATAAAATAAAGTAAAATAAAATTACAAATCCTTCACAGAAGAATCTATTCAGTTTACTATAGCAAACTAATGTAAAATCCTGTGTTCTCAATGTATGAAATATCTTACCTGACTTGATGACACTTTTGAATATAAATTAGGCCAACAAGAGGAATGATCCAGCCAAAAAGAATAAGCTTTTCCTGTTTGTTAGAAACATCAAATTATGTGGTTAAATTGTATAAAATAAGTGTTTAGGTAGGATGACAGGAGTATTGTCACATTCTAAAGTGGAGAAAAAGGCAAATGTAGTCATTAGAGGGAAAATAATTCTGAACTAGAATTTTTTTGAAGTTTAAGCCTAATTCCACAAATCTTGAAGAGTATCTTGTGAAAATTTTGTTTCCCATGCCTTTATGGATTATGGAAATGGCTACCCTAGGAATAGAGAATGGTTGTCTTTGCCTTAAATTAATTCAGTGATCAAATTGTGAATTATGCTGGAGCCTGTCAGTCTCTGTAGGCATTAAAACACTAATGTTAACTTAAAGTAATACTAAACACACATGGTTTTGCCAAGCATTCCTTCCAGAAAGTGTTTCTGAAGCATGTTCCAATTGAAATTCATGTATAGTAGGATCCATAAATAACTTTGCAGAGTTGTGTGGTTTCACCTACTTGTTAAGTTATCCAAACAGGAAGTGAAAGGAGGCACAAATCAGTAGTGAACAGACACCTTTTATATTGGTCTTCTTTTATATATTCTGCAGCTCTTCGAGATGCTGGAAAACAGTCAATCAATAGTGACTGGAAGATAGAGCATTCAGGAACATTCAATATTGCTGGGACCACTGTCCATTATGTTCGGAGAGGTCTCTGGGAGAAAATATCAGCCAAAGGTCCCACAACATCACCTTTACATTTACTGGTATGACAATATGGATTGGGTTTTTTTTACCTGATTCCTGTCACATAGTGTGGTAACTAATTTTTTTTTTCCAGGCTCCTGAAGATAATGAGATCAATGTAAGATATAGCTGCTTACACACACACACATATATATATATGTATAAAATCTGCTTATACATATAGATCTGTCAGTGCGCTTCTGAAAACATGCATTTCGATCCAAAAATAATCTTCACATTTTTGAGGCAGGATGGAAGATCTCAGCATTCCTACAAATATCATTAAAAGTCAATGTGCCACTTAAGAGAGATTCAAATTAATATCAGATGGTTTTTATCCTGCCTGACTATAGCACAGCATCACCATTTCAGGATTGCAATCACCAAGTTCTCCATGAAAAAGTAGATCTCTGATGCATTTCAGTGTAGGGGAGGAAGTGTTGATAGCCACCAGAAAGAAAGAGGGAAAGATGATGAGAAAGTACTTCAAATGCAAGAAATTGGCTGGTATAGCTAAAATAGTTTTAAATGTGATGCATCTAGGAAAGACCTCTTCCATTTAAGAGCACTGAAATCACAGGACATAATTGTCCTCCAGACTTCTGGTGAATTTTGTTTGCTTATTTCATGTGGAGGGCTTTTCAACCTTTATGTTAATTATAATAATTTTCCCCATTGTCTTGATTCGGATACTCTCATTAATTTCTTCTACAAAATCCACCGGGAGGGTTGAACAGCTATAGAGCATTAAGTCATTCTGTCACACTTTTCAGGATGATCTCCTCACAGTTTGGAGTTTGTCTTCCACAGTGTCTGTGTACGTAGGTAGGTTTTCCTTCTCTTTATCTTGCAGGTGCTGCTCTTCCATGACCAGAGCTATGGTCTACACTATGAATACACAATCCCACTGGATCCTCTTCCCGAGAACCAGAGCTCTAAGGTACCAGAGCCTCTCTTCATGTGGACTCATTCTGGCTGGGAAGACTGTGATGCTGTATGTGGAGGAGGTAAAATAAAAGAAAAATGTACAAACACACATACATGTATATATTAAAAATGCATATGTATATACAGTAAGTATGTACATACACAGTACATCTATGTGTCTGCATACAATATGTATATACATGTATATGCGCTCTGTGTGTGATATATCTCTATGAAAACATGCAGCGTGTTAATTAAGACTGATGGTCTGTGTTGTTTATTTAATAGTAATATCCTCATTGTGGCTTGTACATTGGTGGACATTCTTCAGCCTCATGCTTCCTGGTTATATTAAAAGAATAGAGGTAACTCTAGGAGAAGATTAAAACTAATTAAAGTAAGTAGAAAAAGATAGTGAAGTAGTAATGGAATAAAATCTAGATTAACAAAGCAAATTCAGGACACAGTTTCCAAGAAGAAATACAAGTGCAAGAGCTAGAACAAGAATAGAAAGTCCATACGCATTCCATTCTGTATTTGGAACCATTGAAGATAAATGATCTGTAAAAGACATTGCAAACTACAGAAATGCTGAACCCCAATCTCAGAACAAATATGTACAGTTAGTAGCATAAGTTGAGGATGGTCCAGAAACATATGGAACAAATATTACAACAGCAGATTTTAGCATGCTGATGTGATATTTTTCCTATGTTTATGTTTATAAACCAAAAAAAATGTGAATTTGGAAGAACAAAATACAGATGTGAAAACAAATATTGGAACATGAACAGTATTGCTGTAAAAATACCCTTTAAAATTGCTGTTTAGAAGCTGGTTATTCAAATAGGCAATTGCACTGAAGAAACACCTGGGAGTTTTTTTAATGAATGCCACCTATAGAGATCTGTTCATACCTTGTGCAATTAGTCAGACCTACACTGTGAATACCATATTGATTTTTGAAACCTGTCTTTCCTGCTTATAACCTCGATAGTCATGGTTGCTCTCATCAGCAGTTCTGAAAACTGCAGTGTACCTTGTGATTGAATAAGAGGGCCTGGAAACACTTTGCTTTCTCATAACAGCAGCATAAGGAACACCATGTTCTAGCTCCTTTGACTCTGTGAACAGTCCTGGTGTCATGACAGATTACTGTAGTTTCCACAAACATGCTTTTTGTGGTTTGGTAAGAAAGCTTCTTCTCTGAAGGTATTTTCTACGTGGTGCTAGCAGCATCCTCTGTTTCTTACTAGTGCATTCATGTTCACTTGGAGTATTCCTGCTCTTTACAGTTTCCTGAATTATTTTTAGAATCATTTTAATGCTGCCACAATCGCTCAATATTAAATCTTTCAATATCTAAGGTAACCAGTCATCTGGACTAGTCTTAAAACACGGTATGTCGGTAATTTATTCTACACTAATGCTTAATTAAATATTTAAGCGTTTTACTGTAATGTTTATTTATAATATTTTTCTGTTGTAACTGGCCTTCATTTTTTGTTATTGTCTAAAATAGTTTAGTTAATGCAAAGTGCCATAAAAGGTATTTTTATTACAAATATTCTGAAGTACAAGTGAAAGATTTTTCTTACTTTAGACAAAACCATTTTAACTGTTCTTTTAGTTCTTGGCTTAACTATGAAGCAATAATGAAATTAAAATGCTACAGCTTGTACCCTCTGTAAATATTTGTGTTTCAATTTTTAACATCAATATTTTGATGAATCTGGTTAAAGAATATAACAATTACCGGTAGTTTTGCTTACATGTTTAAAGTGTATGTCAGGATGAAACTATTGATGAAACCATGTGGTTTTGTGCATGCTTATATACGTAACAGGTCTGCGACCTCCTGTGTTGCAGAAAAGCTTTCTTTGTGTGGGATAGAATATGAATACCTAGATGTATATGTAAATGCAGAAGGAATTGTCAAACATTTAAAATGCTGTATATGATAGATTAGTTGCATGTGCTGTCATGTACACAAGGGCCATGTAACACGTCAGCCGTAGTCACACACGTAATGCACATTTATAACATAACTGCTCCATCCACCCGCAGACTTCTGACTGCTGGTGAACATTGCGTGCTTAAGCCTGCCCCGCTCCGGCACGCGCCCTGTTTGTTCGTAAGTTTCCAGACAGAAACAGGGTGTTACAGCACACCCATAGGAACAAATGGTTAGGAACCTATTTCCTACTGATTGAAGTCTTCAATTCAAGGATTACTAGTTTTCTAAAAATTGGGCTCCAGCCTAATTACAATTTACTGCTTCCACTAGTTATTATGTTTTAAATACTAATTTCGAATGCTTTCAGCTTCAAGAGACACCAGGCTCCCACCCACCCTTCAGGGCAAGGTTTCTGAACAGAACAGGCACTAGGTCTCTGCAGACAGTACCCAGCTTCCTAAATGATCACCCTACAGATCAGGTCAGTTACGTGGCCTCTTTAGTTCATGGGGAATAAATAGTGCAGGCTCATTAGTGAAGATCTGCATGTGCCGATTCCCTTTTGCTGAATGCTGGCCACTCCTGCCAGGATCCTGCTAAACCAGGCAGAACTACTACACTCCAGCAATACAGAGAAGCAGGACCTGTCATTTCTTTCCTTATTTTGTATGGTAATGAACAGACATAATTTCTATGTAATTTTTTTGCAAGCTTTTCTCAGTGTTGGGTTCTCAGCGACTGAGAAAAAAAAAATATTCCAGTAAGACTAAGGTTTTGGCTATAAGTAGTTACAGGAATAAAGCAGCAAAACTCTGTTGATAGTGGTGTGCAAACATTGGATTAGAAAATCACATTGTTCCCTACAAACTTTAATATCTATCTTGGGCTCTGTTAGCTTTGATTTTCTTCTGAGATTTTACACTTGTACAGGTTTTACAGTTATTTTAGCCAAACTGTACATGAAGCAGCTGTATCTGTAAAGATACCTTTGTCCTTCCTTTTTTAACAATGTGGCATATTCTTGGTTTCCCCACATACCTGCTTTTTTTTTTTCACTAGGTGAAAGAAAGACAACAGTTTCTTGCACAAAGATTATGAACAAGAATATCAGTCTTGTGGACAGCAAGAAGTGCAAATATTTAACGAAACCTGAACCACAGATCCGCAAGTGCAATGAGCAGCCGTGCCAGACCAGGTAACAGTGATTTCATTAAACTGAACTGTAATATCTAGATGTCAAAAATTACTGCCTCTGTCAATGAATGTGCAGTAAATACATACATCCAAAAGGTTATAATGCAAAATGTAAGGAAAATGGAAGTAATGGCTGTTGTTTCTCCCAAGTTTTAATGAAAGGGAACCCTTAAGCACGTGCCTAAATCAATTCTTATTCAATAAAACAGCTCATTACTTTCCGTAGGAAGACTTCTCACAGACTGATGCATGCTGCAAAATTGAAATCTAAATGCTGTTATATAAAGACGGATTTAATCCCATGCTTTTAATTAATCACATATTTTAGTGGTTTGTTCAATCCAGGCTTCGCTCCTTTAAAAGCTTTCAGTAACCCCTGGGTGTACTAAGCAGCAAATAAAGAAATAAATAAATATCTGTTAATCAGATTTTCTACGCTGATGCAACTTGAAGTATAAAGAGCCTTCCCCTCATTCCTCTCCTCCCTCTCCCCCATCCCTTTGTGTGTGGATCAATAGGGAGACCTGGACTCTGAGGCTGGAATGGTGGAAGAAGCAGGAGGAGCTTTTTTCCTCTGAATTTCGCCCGGGGAAGCAGCTGCAGCATGCAGCCTGTGCCTTGTAAAGCCCACCCTTATTTGGTGTCCCTGCAGCCAAGCTGTCAGCCTGGTCCTTGCACTGGCTGTCCAGGCTGTCACAATGACCCATTTCAGAGTCTGTCATCCTGCTTCCAAATGGCAGCTAAGAATTATGACTAAGCCCCCAGGTATTGTGTAGACTTGGGTAAATACCTGCCACCTTTCAAGGGAGGGAAGAGCAGCTAGCAAGAGTTGGCTGGCGTCCCCAGGATTATGCACTGGGATAGATCTACTGCAGTCATCTGGAGGAGGGGCAGTTGGTGTTTTTAAGGAAAACAATGAAGAATAAATAAAATGCAAATATTCTTGAAGAAAGCATGTAAAATGAACCAGAAGACATAGCTTTCTTGGAATGGCTGAAATACTGAAATTGATAAAATGCAATTTAAGGTACATTTTAAGTAAGACCAAACCACTGAGGATTGGACTTCCCCAGACTAGGGCATTACACCTTGGAGGGGTTATTTGTATTTCATTATAAACGTGCTTGAGCAGATCTTTATTTTATTTTATTAACATCACTTAATGGATGGAAATAGAAGAGTCTGAGGCATTGTCAACCATATATTTTCAATGTTTTTCCAACTTATTAAATGAAATATTTTAAGCATTGGTAATTGCTACTCAGAGACGTTTTGCTGAGAAATATAGAAAGATATCATGATCCTTAACCTGTATATCCAGGGTTTAATACAGTATTAGTGATTCTTACAAAGCAAATACTGTTACCTTTCAACAGAAATGTAACTAAAGCATATGCTTGCAAAACTAGTTGTTTGTTATTGGCATTTGAAGAAGTATCTTAAACTCTATTGCATTATCTTGACAGGCTGTGATTTGTAAATTAAGTCTCAGGACTGATAGTAAAATACCCTAGTTAGATATTTTATTTTCTTACAACAAATGCATGACAGAAGGTTGGAACAGGTTTGTTAAATCTGTTTCCTAAAATCTCTCCCTTGCAGTCTAAGTCTCCTGGGATACACCTCTGTACTGACTGCATCAGCAGCAGAGCTGTTTGATTTTTCAGGGCACATGGCCGTAGTCTGGAGCTACAGAACATTTAGGGAAAATTATGTTCTAGAACAATAGCTCTCCAGGTAAGGCCTGGACCCAAAGAACATGAAGAAGTCTGAGCTTTTATATTTCCTCCAGAGCAATGAGCCTTTCATGCAGGAGTGACTCTATAGTGCAACTATTTTCAAAGACTGCTGAACTTTACATGCATGGTGTGCACATAGACGGTCAGATAGATAGAGAGTAAGAGACAAGCTGACCAGTGACCTGTCATCTTTAAAATGTGTGTATATGTTGGAGCTTTTCTAACTGGAATTATAATGAGAGGACAGTACTCTGAAAACATAGAGACAGTGGTTTGAGGAATGAAATTATATGAAAATTAACACCTTGTTTAATATAAAATATGTTAGATTAATAAGTAGCCCATTAACAAAGTTAAGTTAAAAGGAGGTGGAAAATACGCAAGTATGTCTTAGGTGTGTGTACTGGTAAGCAAGAGACTAAGATGATGTGATGGTACTTTTCCGTTCCTGATTCCTTGTTACTGCATTGCCTGTATTTCTTTGTAGATGGATGATGACAGAATGGACTCCGTGTTCAAGGACATGTGGAAAAGGGACCCAGAACAGACAAGTAGCCTGCACACAGCAGCTCAGAAATGGGACCCTGATCAGAGCTAGGGAGAGGGATTGCCTTGGGCCAAAGCCTGCTTCTGCTCAGCGCTGTGAAGGCCAGGACTGCATGACTGTGTGGGAGGCGGGAGTCTGGTCCGAGGTGCTGCATTTATTTATACAAATCCTCCATAGTGATCATTTAAGCCTTACTATTTTCTGGGAATATGATTTTTTCAGCGGCAAGTGGCACAGTTCAGCCTCATGATTTTCATGGTCCTCGTGCAATGATTTGGCAAAGGGATCAGGGACTAGGAAAACTAGCCATGTAGAACTACTACATTTTACCTAGTTAATATCCTGGAACAGTTTCTTATGGCCAATTTTCAAGCACATATAATCAAGTATGTCCTGACTGCAGTAGTGGGTAACTAGGGGTAAATGGAATTAAGGCCATTGTCTATCAGCTACCAGACCTTGGGTTCAGAGTGGGAACATCTCTGACATACTTTTGTGCCAAGGATGTTGATCAGCAGGTGGTTGCTGCCATTCTGCATCAGAGAGGCTATGAAGGTCACTGCTTGACATTTCCTTCCCTTCCTCTCTCTTCTTACCTCTTTTTCCAAGAGTAGCACAAGCAGTGAGCAAAAGGGCTTGTAAATAACACAATTTTGCATACATTGCATCATGAAGCATTGCTGTAGAATGTAATTATTATTCAAAAAGCTTTATTAATTTAAGATCTCTTAATGTCCATGTCCATTTGGCTTTCTTCATCTTCTAAAAAGCTATACTACTTCTAAAAGTAATTGACTGTGGTGGAAGAAGGGTGTTGTTACCATTGCCATCTGGACATGCTGAAGGGGTTAGTTGGAGCGTCTCTCTCCATTGGAAGAGCAAGGCGATTCTGATTGCCTTCCATGCCAGAAGCTGTGCCATGGCTCCCTCTGGGTTCAAAATACAAATAGTAGCTTCTGAATGTGGGTGCAGTCCCTTCTTTGGGCTACTCTGCTCAGCAGCACCCCTTGTTGCCCAAGGAAGAAAAAGATAAGACATAGGGAATGTTTTCAAAGATGAAAAGCAGATGCTAAGATAGAGATAAGAGGAGTAACTAGTAGCATTTCCAGGTTTGGTACACAGAGATTTATAATGCAAGGGCTGGCTGCGAGAAGAATGGTATTCACTTACAGAGGTGTGAGAAAGAAACCCAGATTGTTTAGCTGGTTTGTTTTACTTGAACGATGAGAAATAAGTAAGCATGTTTTTGTTGGAAGCAATAAATATATTTTGAAGAGTGAGGTGTTTCCCATGGCCATTCCTACTATCACCATTATACTGGAAGCGAGCCATTACTGCTTCCTGCAGTTATAATCAGCTTGGCAAAGGAGAGTTTTGATCTGCAAGCAGTGGGATGATCAAAAGCAATGATAATGTTTTGAGAAGGAAATGGCATAATTTTTGGCAGTGTAAGTGGGAATGGTGGAAAAAACCATAGATTAAGACCTGCTGTGCAACTCAAAGAGAGTTTTCACGTGCTGTATATGCAGTGACTTTGAATTCTCAAATTCAGTCTGGATTCTCGCATAGTTTCAGAATATTTACGTTTCCATTTTAACTTTTTTCCTTCTCAGAAAAGGTCTGTTAGACACTAGTAGTTTTTCTGAAGTTGCTTCGTATCTTTTTCATATGAGCATTAGTTATATTTTGTTTAATTTTATTTCATTTCATTCATAGAACAAAGATTGCCTAATATTTTCAGTATAACATTTTGCATTCACTTCATTATAAGTTTTCGGATGTTTCCTTATCCAAAAACCTAATTTTTCCATAAGCAAATAATTTTTGATCTAATTAAATATTTTTAACTGAAAATGCGACAGTTATAATTCTGTCTCATGAGTAATTTTTGTTCATTTGTTAGTTTTTAATGAATCCGATGTCTGTGCAATTGAAGATTGGAAGCCAGGAAGTCACTGAAGTCTTGAAATATTTACGTTAGCCAGGCAGAGGTTGTTAGAATTTGATAACATGGGGTAACTAGGACTTTTGTAGAAACCTGAAAAACATCTTTTTCCAACAGTGCTCTGTAAAGTGTGGTAAAGGAGTACGGCATCGGACTGTGAGGTGCACCAATCCCCGCAAGAAATGTGTTTTGTCCACAAGACCTAAGGAAGCAGAGGACTGTGAGGACTATTCCAAATGCTACGTCTGGAGAATGGGAGACTGGTCTAAGGTGAGGCATCCTTGATACTAGTGCCCCACAGCATAATACATTTTGCAAGCTGAGTTCTTTGCAAGAAGTGCTTTTATCAGAAGTATACGAGTCTTCCAGCTGAGGGAATAACAAGGCTTGTTGAACAACAAAAAAGAACAAACCCAAAACATGCAGTCACACTGAGACCACGATATAAATAAATTAGAAATATGAGGAAAGCATGAAATGAATCTTCAGTATCATGCAAATTTTATATGAATTTACTGTTGTCACTGGGCAGTCAAATAACTCCAGAAACTGAAGAGTACTGGACAAGAGTCAGGCAAAGACACCTATTGGGATTATTCCACTTTCAGACCTGTTTGGGAATAGTAATGACATTTGATTAAATGAAGTAGCTTTATCTTGTCTGTAACCTTTGCTTATTTTTTGTTCAACTTACTTTCTCACCTGCTTCTGGCTTGATATTTTACTGAGGCAAAGTGTGATATGCGTTGTGTACTGTGTTTGGCTCACAGCAAGAGCTTTCTTTTCTTGCAGAGATTGTCTCTGGATTGCAGAGTAGAGGCTATCAATTGCCTATGTGTAACACCCAGTTGGGTGAGATTTTCTATTGTTTTTCTTTGCCCCTTCCACCTCCATTACAGGCTGCCAGGGACCTGACGTTTGCTGTTCTCTGTCCTGATTCTGTCGTGCATTCTTTGTGGTCATATGGGATCTTTTTCAAGGATGGCTTAACGGAATGGTTCTGAGAAGATAATTTCTATTACTAAATGTTTAGAATACTTTGCTTTGGCCATTCTACTGGATGTCCCTCCACACCTTTTCCCAACTAGGGCAACATATTGTTTGCCACTTATATATTATCTAACTGTAATCTGTTACAATTTTTTTCCTCTGCTGCAGCTCACTCCACAGTTTGCACATTTCATTAATTTGTGTTTGCAGTTTTATTAATTTGTCTTTCCAGTAAGTGACACCTTCCAGTCTTATAAGGAAGCACCTTTAGCCTATTAAATTTCCATATCAACCATTTAATATCTAGGAAGCATCTATTAATGTCTATTCTGAACACCTAATGTAGCTGTCAGTGCATTTTTTCCGTGGCATATGGGTTTTGATTTCAGTGAGGTACATAAGCATAGGCCAAACTGTAACAGAAAATATTGATTATATCTGTGAGTGAGTTATTGGACTGGGACCTTGAACATCTGATACACTTTAGAATATCCAAAACATGCTGAAATACTGAAATTGAACCTTGAAAGTCATGGTTTTCTCTTGCCATGTCACAGACCACACTTTAGCAGAGAGTTTGTAATCTTTTTTTTTTTCTGTGCTTCTGTTCATAACTTTGCACACAACACTTCTACTTTCAGAGCCTAACATTATTGCAGCAGGTTTTAACTTGCTTGTATGGAGAAGTATTTAATGTATTTTTAGTTGTCTTTCATGTGAGGTAACAGCTGGAAACAAGGACTAAAGCCAGCAGTGTATGACTAGCCAGCCTTCCAAGAATTAGCTGCAAGTACTCTGTGGGCAACTAGTGTTTCATAGAATTCTGCTTGGGAGTTCCCATTTTATGATGATGGGGTACAAATTATTACTATCACATTATTATTGGTTCCATTTTCTTTACTTTTTTCACATTTAAAGGATAAAAGATAGCATCAAAATATTTTTTTTTTATAGTGGTAATCACTTAAAATATTTGGAAATATTTTGGAACAGCCACACAAAAAGTAGAAGATAACCCCCCTACTTTAGCTACTTCAAAAGCACGAAGTGGTATAACCATTAATTTTTTAAACAACAGAAGGAACTTCAGCAGCCAGGTTACTTTTACAAGATGTGTTTGGCAATAAAGTTTAGTATTTGCATTTCCATACCACAGAACTGCAGTAAAAACCTGCATCATTTAACACTAGCACAGGCAGGGAGTAGACTATGGAGAAACAACCATCTGCTTTCTTAGTTGAAGTAGTCATTCAAATAGGGGTTGCTGAGGCTATGTTGGGATGCTCAGACAGTTACACTGTGTTCCCAGTGCCCTCTGGAAAAAAGAAGAGCTTTATTCTCTAATTCAGTACTTTTCACAAACATCCATGTAATAGCTGAAAATACAAGAGCTTACTTCTTCCTGTTCAAAATTTACTGATGTTTTATATGTTCTGCTTTTCTCCTACAGTCAAAGCTGTAACACTGTCACCTAAATTGTGCTTATACTTCATAATTAGTAGATGAGGAAATATTTTATATGGAATTGACAAAACCTTTTGAACAGTTAACGTACAGCCTGACTGTGACTTGTGCAGCTGAGATTTTCCAAGCTTTATACCAAAAAATAGATACTTTGATTTCTCTACAGAGACATGAGTTCAATTTAAAATATACTTGGATTTCCTTTTTTTTTTTTCCCTGTTACTATTCTGTTCCATTGGTAGAGTACATAGCAACATGAAGTCATGGCATACATGTTAATACATCTACAATGGGGGGAAAAATGGAAAGCTCAGATAAATGTTAATCTTTGCTCACTGTTTCTAACTCAGAGGTTTAGTACAGCCTTCTGTGTTCACTGTTTTTACTCTTTAGGATTGTTCTTGACATTGACAGAAGGCTGTTCCTTTGAGCAGAGCCAAGTTCCCCCAAGCTAATGCCAAGACTTGGCTTGAAAAATTTAAATGACACTTCTCACACATTGAAAACAAGAGGCTTAATGTGATCCTTATTGGCTTTGCTGCTCCCCTTGAACTCCTAAGGCATAATTTTAAATGAAGCTTAAATTGCACTGTTATTGAAAAGATAACATTATTAATAATCATAGGAGTGCTGTGATGGAGTTAATTTGTTTTAGAGGTACAGTCACACAGAGATCAAGTAATTCTTTTGCTCAATGTTTTAACAATAATACCAAGATCAAAGAAAATTTGACCAAAATTGCAAGCTCCAATAGGTCAATAAACACATCAGTCCTTCTAAAACTCTGAAATAATTTACAAGTAAGCTGTATAACCTGGCCTGTGTGCAGCATTACACTCCATAATAGCTCTTAAGTCAGCAAGGTGGCTCAATAAGCTGAACATTGCTGTTCTTAACATCAGTTGAGGTCTGTGCCTGCCTTTGTGAGGAAAATGAGTGTGATGAGAAAGTAAAGCATAAATGCTCAAACTGAGCTTCTGGAGCCAGCATCTAGAAACAGTACCAATTACATTGTCTTTTTCCAATGAATGCCATCCTTGGAATACCACACTTAACAATGTGAAAGTTACCTTCAGATGAGGAAAGCCCGTAGCTCATAGCTACTGTTGTGCCAATTAGAGCAAGGCATAGCTCAGTCTTATTAGCAGCTTTACGTTACTAAGTAACTTTAGTTAGCTGCCCATTGCCACCCATTTCAAGGCTACATGAGGACAGGGTCATGGTCAGAGGAATTCATCATCTAAAGATAAACAAGTAGGCAGGGGAGAGGTGAAATGAAATGCATATTAACACATTTACACATCTACCTGGCTTACTAGAGAAGTTCACATCATTGTAGAAGTCGTTCTCCAAAAAAGACTTAAATGTCAACAGCATAGGGTGCTCAAAGGGCAGGTCTAGGGTACTTACTTTATGTAGAAAGCTGTGGGGGTTTTTTTTCCTATTATCTAGAATCTTCACAACAATGGTGAAATAAATGAAGCATGAGTGGCAGGATGTATTTTGGAAGGGACAATAATTTGGTGAATGGGTTTTGAAAATAATGATTAAAATTGGTATAATATTATACCAGGTACTTTTGGAGACAGTCAGTGGGGAGTAATAGGAACAAAACACTGGGCACTGAAGTAGAATTTAGGAGCAGCCAGTTGTAAGTTGAAGAAATATAAAGTATGTGTGTATAGAAGACCAGAGAAGATAATTTAAGTTCTAAGAAGACATTTGGCTATGGAGGCTGGAAAGAGGATGCATTCATTAGAAACTATAGAAGCAGCAGCAGCAGAATTTCTAAATAGTATCTATTGTGTTGAGGAGTCAAATACGACATCTGGGATAATGGTCCAAATGGTTGGGATGGGGTTCACTTTGTCTATAGCCTGAAAAAGCAAAAATGGGAAACAAAGGTTAATCTGCTAAATTTTTTACAGTGAGTCTGAAAGTACATCTGAAGTAACTGCTTCATTTTTACACCAGTGAGTCCCAGAATTCATGGCCTATTCCAAATTATTAATTTAAGACAGTACATGCAGTGTTGTCTAGAAAGTCTGTATGAGTATCAGGGAGGAAGTCAGTCTCCATCTGTTGGGGGTCACAGAGTGGACCCAATAGGTCACAGAGAGATCTCCCAATTGAGTGGTACAAAAAGCAGCTGTCAGTGATGAGGGTTGCTTCTCCTCTGTCCCAATCAAAGAACATGTGAAAATGGAAAATTCAACGGCATGGAGCATTCAACCTGTAAACTGTGTGCTTAAACATTTAAATAACCCCTAAATTTCCATAGCAAATAGACTCAGTTGATTTTGACTCCTTCAATTGAAAGCAAATAAAATTGAACAATATTAATGTTACAGTTTTACTAACAAGGTAATTAGCCTTGGTTTTATTCTTTGTATCCTCATCCAAAATTGTTAGCTCTTTCGGATTCCAGGAATGGAACTGTCCTGGCCATGAGTCAAAATATCACACTGTTAATAGATTTATGGACAAAGAAATTATATTACTTTTGTGAAATAATAGATGTCAAAATAATAGTAGCATCATGTTAATAACTTTTATATTGACTTAATTTTACAGTTAGTTTCCAGCAAATGAGGTATGTCTTTGTTTCAGAAATGAAGTATGAGCAAATCGTATGGAAGATGTCACTGTAATGAAACAAGATTTTTAACCAAACCTGTAATATTAACATCATTTGTTTCAGATAAAGGGTTTTTTTATAGATCAATGTACTGTACTATTTTGTCTGGAATAAATGTAATGTCTTGTTAGTTTCTAGAAAAAACAGAAAAAGACCACCCTTGGAAAGGAGGAGATTC